CACACCTGCTGCATTTGGGTGCTACACCTCAACAAGTAGAGGAGAACAACACGTTTTCCTCTCGCAACCTCCACCTTGAAAGCCTGTGCTCATTCCGCAAATGATACCCCCTCACCCTCCCAGAACCTCGGTCTCCATATCTACCATATGAGAAAGAGGCTGTTATTATGAAATACACAGCTGTGAAAATGCAGGGGAAAAGGTTACTCATTTAAATATGCTCAAAGACAAGCTATGCCTTAAGATTCCATTACCAATGCAGTGATAAACAGTCATACTATGACTAAGTTTCTTTTCTTGTGACTGTCACATAAACATTTGCTCAGTTGTAGATTTTTGTATTTTAGGTATTAATCATTAAATGTGGTCCTACTCGAAATTTTTAACTTTTTGCTATTTGTAGACACATTATAAAAGGCACTGTCTCCTAGTGCGGGAGACTGCGCCTCTGTGGCCAAGCGATGAAGGCCCCACTAGTGCACAGCCCAGACACTTTCACTGCTGCCTCTGGTAACTGTTTTCTAAACAAATATCAGTCTTAGGTACTGATACATTTACAACTTGTGAATAGTCTTAGAGCTGGAGGACAAAAGACCTCACAATAAATGGGCAGCCATGAAGGATATTTCCAGCCATGATGCATTTTATATTACGAGGTACGTGAGTGTTCTAGTAACATTCTAAGTAGGTAAAGTTGAGTTGTTGAACTAATTTTAAACAAGCTTTTTCTTAGTTTACTGGGAGAATTATAAAGCAAGAAACAAAACTGGCCAGTGCCTGGAATGGTTGGGTGATTTTCAAAGCTACATACAAATACCTGGGGTTTCTGGGCTTGCCCTCTGCTGGGTCCTGATGTTTTTCCGGCTCTTCTTGTTTTTTGTTAAACTTCTCTTTTCCCTCGCTTTCGGAGCCATGAGCCTCTTCACTGGAGTTCTCATATTGATATCTAGTTGTTCCTTTAGTGAAGAATAATACATACTTTGGGACCAGACATTAACAGAAAGTTTAAAAAATCCCAATTCATAAGGAAGAGTGCCATTCAGTACTCCATCCTTGGGGGAAGCAGGAAGACAGCAGTAACTAAGGAAAGAACAGCTGGGCACCTTCCTTCTGGTCGATACAACACTTTCACGACCCTCACCTTTCTGCTGCTTGATCATTCTCACAGTGACATTATTTCTGTTTTTCCAGTAAATCTGCCACCCTGTGCTGCTGATTATTTCTGGCCCTTCAGAGAAGAAGGGATCAGAATCGTCTGGGCCTGATCATTCTGTATGTCTTGGTTAGGATTTTCTTGCAAAAATGTTTTGCCTCAAATACAAATTCTATGGTGAAGCTCATTAGTTCCTCATCCCTGAATGTCTCATTTTTACCGAGTGCTCCCCTGTCAGTTCATAATGTTTGGGTATCAACTTTCTAAGCATCTTGGCACTTTTAACAGCCAGGAACCAAACATGAGGTATGCCATTTGCCTGTTCTTTTCTCTTCCATTTCCTCCCAAGCTCCTTCCTCCACACTTACCTCCACGGACATTCACCC